AGCGGGCAAGCCCCGTTGTCAAGCACGGCAACGATCAATTTTGTCACCGCACTGTACCTATCGCCCAACTTAGGCACTAAGGTACCTAGCTTGATTAAAGAAGCTGGTCTGCCTGAAGAAACGACCCCAAATACCCAGCGAGGTTCATCTCTTATGGTTGGTCACGGAGGTAAGCCTCCTAATTTGTTTCGGGGGGCTCGTTTGATTCAAAGTGCATTGCTTCTGGTCCGGTGATTGTTAGAATAAATGGCTGCGGGGCATGGAGAACTGCACTAGAGCTATTTAATACCTTTCGCTTTTCTTCCAGATACTGTTGAAACCTTATCATAGAAAGTTGTTAAATCGGCTGCCGGTATCTCCCGAAAACCTCGTATCTCAACGACAAGAGACGAAACATCCTGGGAAGGAGTAGTGTTTTCCACGCGGGGTGTGGCTTGGGAAATCTGAGATTGCTAGATCCACTAGCTGGTATTCGTCTTTTCCGCTAACCTACTCTGCTAAGCCTATTGTGGCTTATTACCGTGATGTCCGATGCCTAATCTGAGGGTGGATTTAAAGAGCTCTTATGGTAGGTGGGCTCGTCTATCTGGTCATCCGGGATGTATTTTGGTAGATACAGCTTGTAACAGAAGATTTTCGAGGAGCGACTTGGGGGAAGGGGTTTCTCCTCGGACGCTCGTCGGGTGTGCACTTTCTAAGGCTGGTATCATACCTCCGATTAGTTATAACAAAAGTGTTCTATCGACTGGACAAATACTGGTATCTTGCCAAGAATTGGGGAACAGGGGATAGAGCATGGATACCCCGAGCTGGAGACGAAGATCGACCGTGATGCTTGACTCGAGTTTCTTCCGACTGGCTTGCACGGAAGAATCTCATCGCTGGAACATAGAAAGCCCCTATAATCGAGCAGTAGGTCCATACGTATCAATAGTTTGTTAGCCTATGGCAGTACTACCCCACCCCGGCGGGCGTTGCCTTTTTTTTTTTAAATTTTTTTATTCCCGTTCTTTCAGCCACTTTGCGCCCAAGCGTTTGATTTAGACTCGTTCCATTAATGTCATCACCCCCTAGTTTATTATAGCTTCCTAGCTTGTGTCTCTTTTGAGTTCATGGCTGAATGGTAAAACTGAGCGGGGAAAATCCCCCCGAAACCGTTGCAAGTGCAGCGGTAAAGCACCGTAAACAACATTGAGATTTAATACTTAAGACAGTAGGAGCTGCATTATTTTCTACAAGCCGCGGCTGATCGATGATATTTGTGGAACCCTACTGGTTTCATCTCCCAGAAGTCTCTGTTCGATTGTATCATGATAGGCTTGGCGTAGAGGAATACAACTCTAATAAGTCCCGAGCTCTGGAGTGAGAGGCTATCATACCTGCGGGGCTTTAGCACAAACACCTAAAGTAGCCAGAACTTTCTCCCTACGGGCATTTTGCTTGCAGTAGATATGTAGGAGAAGTAATGAACCATAACGTAATCATATCAGAACAGGCGATATTAAGTCTTTGGTAAGCTACGAGTGCTCCCGGGTGATGTTGACAGAAAGTCTTAATGCTTGTATTAAGAGCGGTAGTAACCGACCAGAAGAACCCTGCCACCACAGATGTTGCCAATCTCGGGGAACTGCTCACTACTATAATAGCAAGTATTAACGCTTTCCTTCCCATTTATCCCAACTGTGAACCTTTTCGCTCCTAAAACCCCATATAATCACTAAATTTCTATTCCCGAGCACATCGACACGCGAGTGATGGGTCATGCAGAAACCGAAGACACAACACTGCCTTTTCCCCCTGCATACAGAGACCGGGTACAGGCATCAACCGGTAGTTGGCTTTTTGTACTCAAGTAGGTAAAACGTCGGGCTTCACGGAAATTCTATGGGCACAGACCCTAGTTCGTTCCAACCCCACCCCCCAAATCCAAGTATTCGGGAAAATTGTGAACTTTTTACACTTACAGGGAACTCCCCAGCACTTCTTTGCTAATACTTGTATGTACGTTACACAATGAGTAGAGATCCTGATCTTGAATTGATGGCTCTACCGAGAGGGTTCTGCTGCATTTTGCAGCTGGTCTGGGATGGGTACTCAAGCTAGGACTAAACAGTTGCCCGTCAAACCCCTCCTCGTGAGGCAACCGCCAACCCTGGGAACGTTTTTTTCCTTTTGGCCCTAACTCTTTCCTACAAAAGCCAATAGCACACGGTTGTGCCCCACTATCCCGCACGGCCAAAATCCAAAGAATCTGTCCGGTACTCGAGCTCATCCTATGATCCGGGACAACGGTTCAGGTTTTGGTGTGTGCCAATAAAGTGATTTGGAGTTCAAAGAGGTTCAAACAGGACAGAGGGGATCCGGACCACTCAGATCCGGGATAGCAGGTTGTGACTACTTAATTCTGTAGGTTCCATGCGGGAAACCCCCTGGTACTTGTGGGCTAAGTAGTGCCCAAATTCCAACGGATTTGTTGCACTCGTTGCCCACACTTTTGAACTCTACTGGGGTATGCTAATGCCTGGGGATAAATGATACGTGTTCCTGACTTGTGGCCGAACGGCACATGGGAATTGCCCGCTCTAGGTCCAAAGTAGGGCACCACAAAGCCGGATATGCGAATTTATTGGCTTTTGGACGTAAAAAGCGTCTTAGGCACAGAATACCCCGCCGAGCCCCCCGGCAGGCAGTCCCTACCCTGGCTCCCCCCCGCCCACGAGAAATCACGCATACTCGAGTACACGCACGCACGCACATCCATACTGTAAGCCGTCTGTGAGAGTCGCACGATAATGAGTAAGCGGGAGCCGCGAGGCCGAACAGGGAGATCCCAGCTTCGTGACACATCGTACAGATACTCGAGTACCGGGAGGCATTGCCGGTTAGTTGTTGGCAGCTTAGGTAAAGGCAAACAAAAAACAAAAAACACCTCTACAAATCGGAATCCTTTGCAGGCCGGGCGTACATCGCTCCACAGGAGTACAGCATACCCCCGAGGGACTTTCTCTGTGAATCCACCCTATAAATGGGTCTAATGTGCGAGTGATTTTCTGTGATGTTTTGGTAGGCGAACAACCGGGTGTGGCATGCTTACTGGGGGGAAGTGAGAAAAATGCCAGGGCGGCAGAAAGGGGAAAGTACTAAGGAGGGAAGGAAGACATAAGCCCTATCTATCTCTGTATCCCGGATAACTCCTGTGAAATACCTGCCTCACTTCGAGCGGGAAATAAACATATTGGTCCCCAAGGGTTAACAAAATGCTCCATCGCTATCCCCAACCACCTCTAAAATGCCGGAAAAACTCAGTTTACGCTTCCGTCAGGCCGTGGTACCAGCGAAGAGCTGTGCACGTATAACAAAAAAGAGGCTCAGGAACCAAGGATCTAGGGCTTAGAAGCCCTTAGCTCGTGATCCCAATCGGCTAGACAGAGCAATAAAAGGATTCAAGGCCCTATCCGGCAGGTGTCATACCGATAAAAATATATCGCAATATTTTTGAAAATGGTATATTTATATATGCCCAAAGGAGGCTAACTCCGGAGGAAATATTAATATTATAATTGGGTAGCAGGTGCTTCTCCACTCACTCTGTGCGGAGGAGGAAGGAGCTAGAGGTTTGCACATTCTAGAGTAGGGGAAATTGTGATACAAACTACTTTACCTATTGAACCGCAACATTTTACAACACCCCTATTTTCTTTACTCCTTGTTGAAAGCTGCGTTGTGGTGGCTGGACTTGATGAGATGAAAACAATGATATTGGTATTGTGAAGAAGAGGAGGAGGAAAGACAAAGTAGAAAGAGACAGAATCAATGTACCAGAAGGAGGTAAAGGGGAATCGTCATTCCTCAGACAACCCAGGCGAGTGCTTCAGTGAGGACTTAATCCTCAACGCACACATCCCATCCAGTATGTAAGCGACACCAGACTGTCCACAGCATAGCTCCAAGTCCGCACACTTCCGATCTTAACTCCGCACGCCTATCAACTCTTCTGTCACCCCTCAACCGGTAGAACTTATGCTACTTTGCCTTTCTCACAAAATAAGTGGAAGAGAATCTGCTACCTATCTATGTCATCAATCTTTCCTTCGGAACTGGTATGCTTTTGGTATATTGAAATATGCCGTTTTTGAAAATATCATGATGTATTCTTACTGGTACCCGACGAACAGGGCAAAAATATATAAAAAAAAAGGCAATAACTCACCCACCATAGTTAACGGTCTCGAATGGCCGGTATGGAATGTATTGAAAAGAGGAGTTTGTTAGATATCTTACCTATATCAGCACTTGGAATAGATAGGGAGCTCCGGTTTACCGCAAGAACTAGAACAATCGAGAATAACACTATGATAGGACAACTAGAGTTCCCCCCTCTTTGGGCGGAGGAGGGAAAGAACAGCGGAGTGTTTGTCCTCGGTTGGGGCGGAGAGAGAGATAGAGCATACTTTGCTAGGACGCCTAGCTCTATTTCATTGGCGAAATTCACAGTTATCTAGCTTTTACTGTTGTGTGGGCAGCTTTTTATTCAATTGATAGATACGTGCTGCATACTATCGATTACTCTCTAGACCACTTGTGGAGCCGCCTGTAATAGGAAAGTCATTTTAGTACCGTACTGGGATAGCCAACTGAGGCTCTATTTAAAACAACATCGGCAATACTATAGCTAAGCAACATGTCTTATTCGAGATAGCGTAGTTGTGGTTGACAATTTCTCAAAGAGCCAATTTTCCAGGATATTCATGCTACGGTGGAAGACTCTTCTTATCTTTCACGACGATGACAAGGGGGTACGGCAGCAGGCTAATAGTAGAAATCTAAACGATGTTTTGTTGGGAGCAAAAGATGGCTTAGTCTATCGATATCAGTCCTGGACTTCAACTGTGGTTTCGGGTGATCCCATATCAAGTTACTCGAGTAATGACTAATCTTGGCAAGCTAAGTTCGTGCCAAGTATAGTGGTTTGTGTGGGGAAAAAACTTGTTTCTTGTAACGATTCAATGGTGTAGAGGTATCATGGGCGCTTGCCATTAGAATAAGCTGCGCCCGACCCGGGTTCGATTCCCGGTTGAATCAATTCATTCTTTTGCAAAATGAATTCTTTTGACTCCTGAGACTATTGTGGATGACTAGTACGGATGGTCCAGTTTTCCTGCTTCAAATAGTAGATGGTTGTTTGTTTGAAAGGCTCGAGTTTCCACTTCTAGGATGCATGTAGCCTAGTGGTAGTGCACGTCAAAACCACACCAGTATCTCCTGCATTATTGGTGAAAATTGAGAAATAAAGCAAAATACTTACTATGTACGGCACTCAAAGCATTAGCGAATATGTGGAAGAAGTTTCATCAAAGATGCTCGGCAGAACAAACCTTTCGGGTCCCATGAAGCACGTCCCTCTATAGCACGAATGTATTTTTTATGGATAATAATGCCCCCCATTATCACTACACTCCTGCACTTCCTCGAATAACCTACCCAATGGAAGAACCGAAAAGCAACAAGTAACGGTAGCTAGCCAAGCGACAATCTGTTGTCCCCAACTCTCCACTTCTATCCCCAGTACCAGACTTTCAAGAGTGCTATTTTCAATCAGACACTAGCAGGAATAAACGGACCAAGCATGTTTACTATATACCACGAGCTTGGCAGGTGCTATTAAGCCTTCAACCCGGCCTGGCAATAACAGCCGCTTACTATGAGTGCGAGGATTGAAGTCTTGGGCTCCTACTAACTACTCGAGAGGTCATGAGTTGATGGGTTTGTAACCACTGCGCTAGCTAGGCACCCCCAGCGCGCTATATATTACCGTGGGAGGGAATACTTACCCAGCTGGAAGGTAGTTTTGCCCTTTGGTTCTTGAAATGATTGGGATGGGGGAAAGCCCTGTATCTCAATAACTTGTTGCATTTAGAGGGGGGAAACCTTGTGGCAATATATTCACCTGGAGATGTTGTATGATAATATTATAATCTTGAAATAGATGTATATATATATATATATATAATCTCTGGTGAGTCTGTGGTTGCTGCAGGGAGGAGAGATATGATAAACCGATCATACTACCATGACCTCAAGAGTATCATAGTCACAAAATGATAAGGCACGGAGTAAACACACACTTGGGAAATGTAGATGCAAGAGAGCAGTTGCTAAGTTTGATGTCCCTCGAGGTTTGAAGTAGTGTGGATCTGGAGGTTCAGGTTTCGCGTCTGCAGCCCATGTTCCTCTAACCCGATCTAGCTCTCTTCGACCCACCCAACACCACCAACCATCAGAAGAGGGAGAAAAAGAAAACTTAGGATGTGAGCATTTTTATTTTATTTTATGCTGGCTCTAGGAGCGGTATTTGCCCCTCTAGCTTGATCTATGCTGACTCTGAAAAGTCTTTGGGCATAAGGTACATGCGGTACAGCACTCAGACTTGTATCTCTGGCCCACATTAGTTCGAGCCCATGGATGCTCCACTACCCCATTTATGATACAACTTCTAGACAATTACCCTCACAAAGCATCACTCGACCTATCTCCTGTGCCTCAAACCTATCACATTAAACAAATCTTCTGAGCCAAAAAAAGGCTAATTAAGACCAAGGCTTTCTGTCGGTGTGCTGCGGCCTTGGCCCGGCAACGCGATGTGGGGGACTTGAGTTGCATGTCGGGCACTGAAATCACGCCAAGTCTAAATTCGCGGTTTTGAGTCGTTGTATATCGGTCTGCAAACTATATTATAATATTATAGAACTATAATTAACCCGCCCAACTGGTAAGTCGCTCTGCCACTGCGATATCCTAGAGGTTAAGGAAAATAAGCTGTCTCAGTCACCGAGTAGAACTACCTGTTTATGCCTTCGTTACTGTATATAGCTGCTTGGAGTTACAGATACCGGAGAGGATGTGGGATTGCAGGGCGGAAAAAAGCTTCAAGTTCGCAGAAAGTGTGATCCAAGGCCCTGTTAGGTAGACTTAGTATCTTAGGCTACCCTAGAGTGCCGACGAAAGTTAATTCGTTGCACTCCGATAAATCCAACATACGGAATAATGTCTGGTGTTCATGTGGCTGTCCCACTAGGGGCTAGAATAAGTGGCTAGTTCAAGTATTGTAATGCGTTCAACGTTTCTTGACAATCGGCACACTACCCAATCGTAGCGTAAGCTATCAGAGTGGGCGGGCTGTAGTTATGTCTTCCCCGGTGTTAACCTAGCAAAAGAAAGAAACGCAACCGCGATCTGGCAAATTGAGTGCTTGGTCACTAGGGAGGCTAAGTTTTACTTCATCACTGGGGTGTCTCAATTGGTGAGCTACTCGTCCGGCCAATGGTATATCTATTCCCTTAGGTAAGTGAGTTACTTGGTGACTGGGGTAGAGCTTATATGATATTCCAATATTCTGATCAAATAATAACTTCCCACAGCTACTCCAAGCTAGAGATCTCGGTGTATTTCATAGCATGGGAATCTAGAAAACAATGACGAGGAGAGTAGACTATGAAACACCCTAGTCGGTTTTTTTTTCTTTTTCAAAAATTGCTCAATCATCTGATCCGGCACGCGCGCACATAGCAATCATAAAGAGGAGAGGTGAAAGACAAAATACCCCCGAACAAAAGCATCCCATGCCCACGGAAACTAAAAGTAAAAGAGAAAGGGGAAAATTGGTGTTAGGAAGCCCCCCTAGGCCCAACGGCTGAAAAGGTTAGAAAAGACAAGGGAAGAGGTGAAATTTTGATATCATGAAAGCGCCGCATAATCCACACGAACAAACGGGCAACAAAAAAAATTATACTTTAACCCCCCAAATACCCCTTCCACCAAGTACCCCCAACCAATCTCCAATCCCCCCTCCTCCGCCTCCTCCTGCACCACTAGCGCCCCCACCTGTCGGGCTCCAGCTGATATTGTTCACCTCGTAATCGCACTTCCACGACGCCACAGGGATCTTCTCCTGTGTTACGCTAGTACCGTTGGATCCCGTGGATTGCGAGGTTGTGTTGTTTACCAGGTCCCAAATCAGGACTAGGCTGTCGTCTGCTCCCCCTGCGATGATCCCTCGCTTTGTCGGGTTCCATTCTATGCAGTTTACGCTGCCTGTGTGGCCTTTCAGCTCGATGAGGGCTTGGCCCGGTTGACGGACGTCTAGGATTCGTACCAGGCTTGAATCCTGTGAGAAGGTTGCGATGAGGTGTTGGTCGTGTGGTGATGCTGTGGTTGTGTCAGCATATGCCACTTGCGTATAAGATGTGAGGGAGGATTCAAACCTGCTAATCGCAGCAAGGGCGGAGGGCTTGCTCCGGCGCCACCGACTGGTGATCCTCCGTCTTCCCTGGAGCTAGTGTTGGGATCTGCTCCTGAACCTTTTCCTACTCCAGGTTCATATATAATCGTGCTATGTTCCAAACTCCTCAGATCAAACATCCGGACACTCCCATCTGCGCCGCAACTCGCAAATACGTCTACTGAGCCACTCATGAATCTTACATCAAAAACTTCTTTGTCGTGAGCGATTAATTGAGTTTTTGCAGTGAGAGTTGGAATGTCCCATATAGTACAAGTAGTATCAATGCTGCTAGTAATAATCAAAGAGGGTGAAAGGGGATTCCAGTCCAAAGAGGTAAGAGGGGCAGTAAAATCCGTAGACTTGCTGTTAGATAGGAGAGCCAGAGGGGTCAATTTCTGGATGGGCTGCGTGTGGAAAGTGTTGGACCGGGTAATGGAATTTCCTTGTGGAGTGGCAGAGTTAGAAGAGCCTGTTGATGGGCTGTTCGGGAGTGACCACAAACGAAGGTGGTCACCAGAGGTAGCCAGAAGTTCAGTCGACGCTTTTGTCGAACCAGCGGGCTCCCACAAAATTCGCGTTATGGGGTAAGTGTGCGAGGCCTCGGCCACCTTTGAAAATTCGATAGTTGGGGCGGGTGGTGGGGTGTCTGAATGTGTGCTGGAGACCGAAGCAAGTCGGGTATCAAGAATTTGTATCTATTTCAAGTCAGCAGGATCATCCGACGAGCATTCTCAGAGTCACCCCGCCGAAACGCCATAATTGACTGTGGCAGGGGAGTATCCCTCCACGCAACACAAGCGAGCATCCATGCCAAGCCCAAAATGAGCTTAAATAGAGATGGCACTCGCTTCCCTATCTAGCAAAATTTTCAAAGCCAGTAAAAAAGAAGCGAGACTCACATAATTATGACTATCCTCTGCATAACTCCCAATCGCGACCCTTCCATAACCCCCGTTTGTAGGTTGCCATTTACACCAATCCAATGCATAAAGACTCCAAGGACTCATCCATTTCCCATTTCCCACAGCTCCAATGGCACCAGTCTCCTCTCGTTCCCGCGTTGAAGTCGCCGGAGAAGTGAGCCCCGACAAACCCATACCTAGATGCGCGGCACTGGAATGAGAATGCGACGACGAATGCTGTGACGAGGGTGGGTAAGTCGGTGTGAGGGCTCCCGGATGAGTGTACTTCCGACCGGGGTCCCCCCCTGCGGATACAGCCGAGTTGTCTCTGTTTGACAATGAAGACGAAGAAGTGTTCAGTTGCGGGGAATACTTGGAGGAATGACTGAGCGATGTGTTTGTGGTGTTTGTTCGATGCATTGTCGACTGCTGTTGTTGTAGGGGGTCGTTAATTCTCGGAACCGAACCTGGTGTAGTTGCCGTTGTGTGAGGTTGTGGCTTTGAACTGGTATTGGACGGAGGCTGAGAGGAATGATAGGCCTGGTATTGCTGCTGCGGCTGTGGCTGATGCTGAGTGGGTAGGCCAGAGGAAGAGAGCTGTTGGGCCTGGACAGGATCGCTCGGGCGGTGCGGATAGTGTAGTTCTTGAGGAGAATTGAAAAGGTCCCCTTGGTTACCACCCTTTGTTGGGGACGGCAATTGAAAAGTCAAATTTGTGGGTTTTTTCTGCTGATCAAGGGATGACGATGGCAGGTCCCTGCTGCCAAAACCCAACCCAGTTGCAGAGGCACTAGAAAGAGCTCCCCCAGACGCTGAAGACCCAGGGTATATAGGTGTTACTCCACTACCGGGACCGCTGTTAGAAGTGAGATTGTTCTGTGAGGTTTGTACACGGATGC